TCTGTAAACAGTTTAGTTTGTACATTTAAAAAAAACACTTGACAAGATTGACCAGTTTAGCTTGATGACGTTTCCAAAGAAACACGGTCTGTACATATTCTCTCCACATACACAAGAAGGAAATTATGGCCACTATACAATGGTAAATTAATGCTGTATGTATTTGTTAATGTTGCCAGTGATGATGTATGGGGAGCTGTTTTAGTCATTATTTCGCCAATACCAGAACGGTCTTACTACAATTTGTTTGTTTGATTGTTGTTTAACGCTGCAATCAGCAAAATTCCAGCTATATGACGGCGGTCTGTAAATAATCGAGTCTGGACCAGACAATCCAGTGATTGACATCATGAGCATCGATCCATCTATGACATGCATCAACCAAGTCAGCGAGCCTGACCACCCAATCCCGTTAGTCGCCTTTTACGGCAAACATAGGTTGCTGAAGACCTATTCCACCCCGGATCTTCACGGGCCTCCCACTGAAACATATGTGTGTGCGAAGCCCCTATCATTTGTTTTCGAATGCAAATTGTATATAGATATATTGATTATCTCAAAACTAAACTCCTATCTGTGTAAACAACAAACCAGGTTTTTTTACCATTTGGAGAGTAGGTTAGCCTTTGATGATAGATATCCCTTGTCTGTAACACTGGAAAGTTCGTGAGACTTAATTCACAGCCGTGATATTGCTGGAATATTGCTAAAGGCGGCGTAAAACCATATTCACTCACTCTAAAGAGTTCAAAGTCCTTTGCTTTACATAAGCCACGCACTGACACACGGAGGCGCACGAAGACACGCATGTGGAATTAACCTATGCATTCAAATGTACTTCTTGCAGGAAAACATAGCTTGACTTTAAACACAAGCGAGTAAACTTGACCAGCGTCGTGACATGAGGCAGCATGGTCAGTTTTCTCGCAGAATTCCAATTATCTATTATTTGCAGCTCATGCGTTTCCGCTACAACACAACAATGTATTATTACTCCATATCTGAACCATGGCCGCGTACGTATAGGCATACCCAGAACAACGGGGCACACCTTGCGAGAGTTCACAACATACTTCAGCTGCACAATTCCTGTATTTTATACGCAAGAAAACCCCTGTTGAAAATGTATGTTTTCCATCGTGTGAGTTCTGTGATGACAACAACAGTGTATCTCCACAGTTCATGGTTGTTTTCCGGGTCTCCAACCCAAGTAAAACAGAACACATCCAGGATAGAGTGAGTGAGTGAGTGAGTTGGGTTTAACGCCGCTTTTAACATTATTCCAGTTATATCACGGCGTGTCAGCTTCATGTGGGAGAAAGCCCGAAGTGATGCAGGTCTCAGAAGTTTACCACTTCGGTGAAACCCACGAGCACAAACCTAGAAACATAATCGGGGCGAACCGGGATTCGAACCCACAATCATAGGTTTCTGGCGTGCCAAAGGGAATCGCAGCGCCTTAGACGACTGGGCCACCCGTGTCCCCCACCCAGGATAGAGACGAATGCAGGCCCATTGAGAACGCACACACTGACTCTATACACTGTCCTATGTTTAGCCAGCACTAGGACAGCCAGCGGTGGTCTTTCTCCTTCTGATGCTTCTGCTGCTACTCAGAGGATAACAAAGGACGACGAGGCATCCAGCTATAAGGATCCACAATTGGGCTCAGGAGAAGACCCTAAAGCCTGGCTGGAAATTTCATCGTATCTGTTTGTTTATTCTGCATACTTGGAACCTGTTAATCATGTCCGCGTCATCGGTATAGGTTGGCGGAGACGGATCATGAGATGTAGGTGTGGATTTCCAGAACTCACATATAACTCCACCTCAAAACTCATACGGATTGAGATTTGAGCTGAACATCAAGAGAGGAAGTGAGAATTATAATTTGTAGGGGCTTTGATTATGAGAGTTAATTTACAAAGGGTCAGTTGCATTTAGCTTGGGCTGAAGAGTCTTCTCTATGTCTAGCACCAAGGAGAAGGTCTGCAATGTTCGTGATGCCTACCAGTGTAGTGGTGGCTTGCATCCACAAGATGTGGAGATTTACTAAAGGGTACAAGAACTTCTCGGTGCACCCACGGACAGCTTGCTTGCGCCAGTACCGGACATGGAGGGGAATGCCACATTGACCAGAGAAGAATTCATTAGAAGGTTTGACGATAAACTCATATACGGAGTCAAGAATTAAAACTGATGGGTATTTATCATCCAAAACTGGCTCCCACAGTAGATATCGCTTGGATTAGATCAAGCGATATCTACACTGTAGATATCGCTGCAATGAAATTACATCACAATGCTTTGCAGACCATTGTGAAATCACTGGTTACCATGACGTCACAATCAAATGACATCACTAATGGCTCTGCTACTGAAGCTGTACTTTTTACACTAAGGACACTGCTAATTACTGTCTACAAATTGAAAAAGTTGGAAGAATTATGTTGGATGATAAATAAAATCTCACCCTCGTGTCTTTTGATATCAAATATATCAACACTCGTTGATAAAAGTGGCAAAAATCCTCGGCAAGCCTCGGAATTTTTCCACTTTTATCAACTCGTGTTGATATATTTGATATCAAAAGACACTCTGGTGAGATTCTCTATATGTTAAAAAACATATTTGATCATATAGATAGGTTTCTCGGCAGGATAAAGCCAACGTATAAAAACGGTATCAGTTGGCGTCATTTACGGATAAAAATTCAAATAAAAAGGTCAGGTTGGTACAACTTGCATATTTCACAAACATGGCGTCGTCCTCGTCGCCAACACTCGCTAAATACAATGTTTATCACTAATACAGGATATTTACCATCTTAAAACATACAAGCGTGATAACTTCTATGTGTGAGAATATCTGTTTATCGGTCTTCTTGTAGTTTTACAGGGACACGTTTGGTTACATAAAACGTGTCTTCTTTCTTACACAGTCCGACACTGACAATCGTGAAATTAGTACGGTTTTTTTCAATTCACTTTATATTGTAAAAGAACGTTACGATATAAACTTGTAAATGGTGTTAATGCAAACATCATATTAACGAATAGTTTCCTTTGCAAAGTGATGAGAAACACAATTTTTCGCAAGTGGCCTTTTGTTACAGGCTTAGTTTGTTAACCATATAGAAATAACAAATAAGTCTCTATCATAATTGTAATATTTGTACATCAATAATTATACAGGACGTAGCGTAGCTTGAATGTAGTTAAGGAACAACTCCTCTACTCTGATTTAGAAAATTATTGTTTATGGTGATATATTTAATATTATTAATATGTTCCTGTGTAAATATCTAGAAGGAAGATTACCATAGGCAGGTTCACATCTTGACCCTCTTGCACAGGCTAATTTACTAAGTTATAGAGCTAGTGAGTGAGTATTGTTTTACACCGCTTTTAGCAATATTCCAGCAACATCACAGCAGTGGACACCAGAAATGGGCTTCGAAGGTTTTAACCACTACACTAACCCACCGTTATAGAGTTTTTGGGGATTAATTAATATTTATAAAACTGTAACATATTTAGTAGTAGGTGTAAAATATGTGATTTTGGAAGAAGCTTGAATGGAGACTAGGCTAGTTTACATCTGGTCTGAAAATATAACATTTTTTATGTGAAACTTGTGCTTACATTTTTTAAGCACACAGAAGCTGCTAATATCAGATGGACTTATGTCATGAGACGTTTTGGGGGGTGTCATCTTTAATGTAATAATGACAGAGACAGAATATTGACAGATGGAGATGAGGGAGACGGATTGATGGCTGAACCTGAGGGAGTCATGGTAGTAGGGAGGGAAGGAGTGTGATGATAATGAGGGATGGAGGGTTAGAGTAAGGGAAAGGGGACAAGAGGGAGAGTGACTGGTGGCTGAACCTGAAGGTGCGATTGTGGGACAGATGATTATGAGGGAGGGAGGGAATTAGGGAGTAAGGGGGATGGGACACGAGGGAGTGTGATTGATTGAGGGGTGGATGGATGGATATATGAGTGTGAGACATGATATCAGGGATGGAAAGTTTGATAGTGGATCAGTAGATAGCTTTTATCATTTTCAACATCCATAACATCCACAAAGCCTACATGTTACTCCATGTTAAAATAACCAGGCAAATAAGACAACAATGACATAAAAATACATTTATTGATGACACCAGATACAAGAGTGATTTTGGTGATGGTGGATGATGCTGATGAAGTGACATTGTACTTTACACGCTGCTGAATGCTGCCACCTCCAGGGGCTTCACCAGCCCAACTCAAGCAGAGAGATGACACGACAGGCCTGGGTACCATCACCTTACAGAGCACAAAGACCAACTGGTTTATCAGCCAATCTATGGACCACACATATTTTGCTGTGACAGGTGATATGCTCCAGGACATTCCACAAAATGTTTGTACCTGTACGACTATCGTAAGTCTATGTTAAAGTATGGGAGTTACGATGTCTTATTGCTGCAATCTGTTTGTGGAACGGGGCCCAGAATCCACTTGCACAATGCAATCGCAGTGCTAAGGCTATTGTAAGTCTCTTTTGAAGTATTGGAGTTCCAAAAGCCTGAGCGTTAAGATCACTTCGTGAAGTTGGTCCAGGGTTAGCAGCATGTAATGCAATTACCAAGATGGACTAAAAGTCAATCTCATTAAAATCAGATCTTAGTTTTCACTACCGCTAGTCTGAGGACATCCCATTACGGGTCACGTCAGAATGACCCTTCGTGAATTTTGACCGACCAATGAAATGACTGACAAGAAATCGACATTGGCCAATCAGATGGCAGCTTTCTCGAGCTTTACGACACTAGTTACAAACTGGCGACTACGCTTCAAAACATATTTTAACGTATTCTCGATTAAAAATTTTAAAACTGATAAGAAGAACATTCTGGAATGGCTTATAGATGACCTAGATTGTATGGATATAATCATAAAACCCGTAACTGTTGTTCAGAATACCCTGTGTTTAATATATCGTGGTTGCATGATTAGAAAACACATTCCATGATCTGGTAAGCGACGCTCTGATTGGTTGGATGAAAAGTCGTTCTGACGTGACCCGAAGTGGGATGTCCTTAGCGAGAACTAAGATCTGATTTTAATGAGATTGGACTAAAAGTTCATTTGGATCCATCACTAGTACACATAACGTCATCAATGTCAATACAATGAATCCTGGCAATGTGAGTGGACACCCATCACAGACTTGGTGCCACTATGTCAAGGCCCCGAACACTTCTGTGGCAATATCAACATGGCCGATCTCCTTCAGGGCTATCTGTAGTGCACCAATGGTTGCCCTCTCCGGCTCGCTTTCCTGACAAACAGAAATATTGTATGAAGCATCAAATTCACTTGTGAGTATTCAGTGGCGAGGGACGTCAGAAATGGGTTTAACATGCTGTACACATGTGGAGATGCATACCTAGGGCTTCAACAGGAGAAGCGAATGAAAAAGTTGTTTTACAAACTCTCATGTAATTGTTGGTGTTTTAAAGCCTGTTGTTACAAGGGGGTCTGCAAGGGGCTCTGCAATGTAAACTGAACATTCACATGTTAGGCCAACTTACTACTGTTTTTTCAGTATTAATATCATGTCAAAAGAAAAGTCTGTAATGGTAGTTCTGTAGTAAACAGAATATAAAATGAGAATCTGTAAAATATTATCAAAGCAATGTTAGTGATGTTCTTGGTATTGCTATTTGGGCAATTTCAAACGCAAATAATAAAATAAACAGAACGAGCTCAATATTACTGTACATGATGACAATCACAGATCATTTGAAAACCTTGGTATTTCTTGTTCATGATTATTGCAAGTGGGAGGGAGTGTATTGACAAAGTTGAGACCGGAATTAAAGCTTCATATTGTAAAAGAGAAGCAACTTATTATTTCATTTCACAGTAACAATGAAAATATTTCAGAATAAAAGTTTTGAAATATCCCTGTGTTCCGCAATGCCCTTCAGCTGTTACGTTTGCACAGATCCCCTTGTAACAACAGGCATTAAAACACTTAAAATTACATGAGAGTTTGTTCAACAACTTTTTCTCTACTTCTAGACAATGTCTGAAATTATGGTGACAAGTTGGTATGGACCAATAAATAACTTTCATGCGATTTAAGACGAATTGTTGCTTTCGGATTTATATCTATTTTGCATTTCATAGGTACAATTTTGCAGTAAACGGACTGTACACTACACGATATCATTACTATAGAGGGACCAACTGAAATAATTATTGGTGGTCAACTGGACCGCTAGTTTTGTAGGTCAAGGTAAACCCCTGAGCTATGCTCATTATCACATGCAATGAAATGAGTGGAAGTTACACGTTTAATCTTACTAAAAGATAAAACATATCAGTATAAATGTATTGTCTTCCACAAGTTGCCCTTTTCTGTTTGCAGAGGCCATTGTTGGATGACAAGATACATAATCTCCATGGCTCAGATTCATATGGAATGACTGGTCACAGCATCATAATCAAAAACCACAGTACTCTTCAGTTTTGAGATAGATACACATGCCCACCCCTAAACAACTACGGAAATGTTGACAAAGAGAATCTTTTGTCAAGCAAATGCTAGTTCACGATGATTATCAAGTAAGGGGGCTGTTTTTCATGCATCTCATGTTATACCTTCAATGAAAATGACTTTATCCAATCTCAAACTTATGAACTGCAACCTTAAGGAACACAATTTTACTTCAGAAATTCTGTGGGGTTTTAAAAAAACTCAAATAAAAGCACATTCAAATTATGTTTTGAACAAAAAGAATGTATTTCCCAAACAAAACAGTGATGAGGGAGTGAGTTAGTCTTTACGCTGCTTTGAACAGTGTTACAGTTACATCATAGCGTGTTTACTTAAAAGTTGTAGGAAAGTTTGAAGTGAAGCATGTCTCAGACGCTTACTACTTTGGTGAAACCCACGATCACAGGTATTGTGCTGAAAAACCTAGAAACATAATCGGATGAACCTGGATTTGAACCAATGATCATAAGTTTCTGGCGTACCCAAAGGATGCAACTCTGGAAAGTGAATTATGGTGCCCCCCTATCAGCCATGAGTGAATGGTGCCATAATGTCAGTCAGCAATATTCCAGCCATACCGCTGAATGGGCCACCCATGCCCCCTTATCAGCCATGAGTGAACAGTGCAGTAATGGCACAGTCAGCAATATTCCAGCCATACCGCTGACTGGGCCACCCATGCCCCCTTATCAGCCATGAGTGAACGGTGCTGTAATGGCACAGTCAGCAATATTCCAGCCATACCGCTGACTGGGCCACCCATGCCCCCTTATCAGCCATGAGTGAACGGTGCAGTAATGGCACAGTCAGCAATATTCCAGCCATACCGCTGAATGGGCCACCCATGCCCCCTTATCAGCCATGAGTGAACGGTGCAGTAATGGCACAGTCGGCAATATTCCAGCCATACCGCTGACTGGGCCACCCATGCCCCCTTATCAGCCATGAGTGAACGGTGCTGTAATGGCACAGTCAGCAATATTCCAGCCATACTGCTGACTGGGCCACCCATGCCCCCTTATCAGCCATGAGTGAATGGTGCCGTAATGGCACAGTCAGCAATATTCCAGCCATACCTCTGACTGGGCCACCGGTGTCCCCAAAACAGTGACAGTGACACACACTCACCATCCACACAGTCAGCATCTTGAGTCCAGACAGTTTAGCGACCTTGTCACACGATTCCTCGAAGTAGCCCATATCATCTTCTGGGAAGTTGAGCTCCGTCCCTAGCTTCTTCCAGTCGTCGGCCAGCTTCCCTGCCACCATTTCCAGTTGTGCCCTCGTCAGCTGCTCCTCAGCAGGCTCGTCCTTGTCTGACAACGTAACAATCAACATATACATCACTAAGGTGATCTAACTCCCATAATTTAACATAGACTTACAGCAGTCGTAGCTACGATCGGTTTGTGAAATGGCCCAGAATTGTGCTAGGTGTCTTCTTAAAAAACAATGTTTTCCTTAGTTTGTAAACCTATGCTAAATTTTGTAACAGTAAGAACAAGAAAAGTCATCAGGAGATGACATATTTCCCCAGTCTGGTAAAATTTGGAAATTGAGTTTGGCTCCTTTTACCCCACTTTTGGTTCACTGGATACCTTAAGTACAGTGAAGAAACAATTAATGCTGTTCAGTAATTTTCAAAATCCCAAATCATCAAAGGCATCAGTTCACCACCAGACTAATCTGTATAGCAAGATTCATCCAGAAATATTCAACGGTTTTGGAGTTCTGCTCCAGAAATGAGCACTACCCTCATTTTCATATTTTCTTTCCTGCTTGCAAAACTTTCCCGGTTAACAGTAACTGAAAAACGTTTCTGTTCCTGGTAGACAGGATAATGAAAACTCTGGCAGGCTTTGGTGTTTTGATCATATGGAATCTAAAACCTGAAAATCTGTATTTCTCACAACAAATGAATACTTCTATTTTATACCTGGTTCATTGCCCTGTTTGAGGTCCTCTTCATCTTGTGTCTCCTTAATGGCCTCTTCCTCCTCCCCGATCTCGGTCTTCATCTCCTGCTGATCTCCGCTTGTGTCTTCACTGGACTGGGACTGACACAAATAATGCATATTATCAACAATGAGTGAGTGACTTTGGATTAACGCTGCTCTGAAACAGTATTCCAATCATATCACAGCGTGTCAGCTTAATGTGGGAGGAAAGCCCAAAGTGAAGCAGGTCTCAGACGTTTACCACTTCGGTGAAACCCATGAGCATCCTAGCTGACAATCCTAGAACAGGCTGAACAGGATTTGAACCCATGAGTATAGGTTTCTGGTGTGCCCATAGGCCGTAACTCTGCACAGCAAATTGTGGCCTTTGGACTTCAGGGCCTCCCATGCCCAATAATCAACAATGAGTGAATGGTGCTATAATACCATAATACCATAGTGAGCAATATTGCAGCTACATTGCTGTGACCTGTAAGCAGTGGGAACAGACATCCTCGCCTTCATCTGTTTCAATAATGAAATCTGGCTGTGACGCTGATAAACTGATCCCAAAATTCAGCACTGGATTTTTCAAAGTTTCTGTTGCACTTACAAGGGGGCGGGAAGAGAGGAAAGTGAAAGGTTTTATTCAACCTCTCGCAATATTCCAGAAATATGAGGTAGTAGGGTAGCATAGTTGTTAAAGAATTCACTTGTCATGCTGAAGACCAGGGTTCGATTCCCCACATGGGTACAATGTGTGAAGCCCATTTTTGGTGTCCCCTGTCGTTATATTGCTTGAATATTGCTTAAAGCAGCGTAAAAACATACTCACTGATACAGCAACATGGCAGTAAATATTGGTCTGTTGTACCATCCGCCCAGCTTTTAGTCATTATGATTCAATGTTTTATTTGTTTGTTTGTTGTTTAACGCTGCACTCAGCAATATTCCAGCTACATGATGGCGGTCTGTAAATAATCAAGTCTGGACCAGACAATACAGTGATTGATATAATGAGCATCAATCCATGCCATTGGAGTCATTGACATGCATCAACCAAGTCACCGAGCATGACCACCCGATCCCGTTAGTCGCCTCTTACAACAAGCACAGTCGCATTTTACGGCAAGCATGCCCTGCTGAAGACCTATTCTACACCAGATCTTCACGGGTCGATTCAATGTTTTACCGCTGGGCTATCCCAAAGATAGAACATTACTGACTGGGTTTTACATCTTCCACTAAGATGCTATAACTGTGCTAGAAACACTTTACACAATGTGAGAGTACAATGCCCTGGGGTGAAGGACTGTCTGGCGCTCGGCATTAAGGGGCTAAAACAAGGACTGGTTGGCTCGGAGTCAGTATACTGTGTCTGAGTGGGGTATTCTTGTTAAACTGCGGCATGGTATCTGTGCTAGCACTATAAATCGGCATCAGTCCGGACTAGTACAAGCAGCCACACACACATACACGTGCATGCACGTCGCTATATAAGTGCAATAATCTTGGACGCTACGTTAAACCCCATTTCACCTCACTCACCTTAAAACAATAACAATGACGTGGAGCCCTGGGGTGCTGAGGTAAGGCACAGGTAGGTGAGTGAGTTTGGTTAAGCACTGCTTTGTGTATGTTGGTCGTTTAACGCCGCAGTCAGCACTAAATGACGATGGCGTGTAAACAATCAACTGTGAACCAGACAATCCAGTGGATGTTGGGAGCCATGATCCACACGCCGGGATACGATGACGCAGCATCAACCAAGTCACAGAGCCTGACCACCCAATCCAGGTAGCTCCTACGACCAGCATGGGTTGCTGGGGACCGATCTATACCCAGAATCCTCATGGGGAAAGGCCCGCTTTGAACAATATTCCGGCTATATCACGTCATGTCAGCCTGATGTGGGAGGAATGACGGAAGTGATTCAGGCCTTATAGGGATAACAGTTTCAGGCATGGGTATGTTGCTGACAAACCTAGAAACATAATCAGGGCAAATTGGATGTCCAAATCTAAGATCCCAGGTGTGTGGCATGTCTGAGAAATGCAACGCAGTAAATTGCAGCACCTCACACCACCAGGTTCTTTTGCAGCAATAGGAACTTACTGGCATTTCTGTGGCTAGTTTCTTGACCATCAGTTCCAGGTATTTAGGAATCGGTATTGCTGGAGTGTTGTTGTGAGTGAAGAAATGGGGACATCGGCGGGCAAGGAGACGCAAGGCCTTCCACTGGAAACTTTGCTCGTAAATGAGTCTGAAAACGAGCATGACACAAAAATCAACAATTATTTATTACAGCTTAACAAGTCTTTCAATTAGCAGCAGCAGTAAATGTTCCAGGGCCCCGTTCCACAAAGCGATCCTAGTGCTAAGGCGATCGTAACTTCCATACTTTAACATAGACTTACGACAATCGTAAGGCAAAGATTGCTTTGTGGAACAGGGCCCAGGTTATCATAGGTGGTCAATCATGTGGAACAGGGCCCAGGTTATTATAGGTGGTCAACCATGAGGCCACCTTCCACAATATGGAAACAAAATGAGGCACAACTTGACTTTATTTTACTCATTGTCAGTGTTGTTTGCAACTGTAGGACAGCTTATTGTTGCATGATGCTTTGTTTCTTTTGTTTGTTTAAAGCTGCACTCAGCAATATTCAAGTGATATGATGGTGGCCCGTAATTAATTGTGCCTGGACCAGACAAACCTGAGATGACATGCAATCAACCAAGTCACTGAACCTGCTCTCCATATCCATTAAGTCGCAGCTTACGCCCAGCATAGGTTGCTAGGGACATATTCTAGCCTAGACTCTCCACAGGGTTACTTCAAGACAACACGGATGTATGAGCCTGAGGGTGTTACTGGGGTGTTACTGGGGGGATCGAGTACAGATCAGAAGGGCAGCACTAACTTGTAGTTGTCTTCGATCATAGCCTCAGGGTCATCCTGCTCAATGGCTTCTCCAAAGAAGTCATCAAGCTGAGGTAGAAAGTCTCTGAAAATACAGAACATGAAACCAAATGATACAAACAATCACACAAATTTCACAACACATTACCATGATTACCTGCCAATTGTGAATGACAGATTATGGTCAAAAGGTAGCATCACTTTAGCATATTGTACAACTCTACGTCGTTTCATCAATAAAAATTACAGATCTGTAATCTGTTAAAGGATAATATGACATGAATGTGCTAAGAATATGAGGTAACTGCTTGAGTGAGTGAGTATAGTGAGTGAGTGAGTGAGTATAGTGAATGAGTATAGTGAGTGAGTGAGTGAGTGAGTGAATGAGTGAGTGAGTGGGGTTTAACGCCACTTTTAACATTATTCCACAGCGTGTCAGCTTAATGTGGGAGGAAAGCCCGAAATGATGCAGGTCTCCGACGTTTACCACTTTGGTGAAACCCACGAGGATGGGTTTAGTGCTGACAAACCTAGAAACATAATCAGGGCGAACCGGGATTCAAACCCACAATCATAGGTTTCTGGCGTGCCTAAGGGACGCAACTCTGCACGGCGAATTGTAGTGCCTTAGACGACTTGGCCACCTGTGCCCCCGCTTGAGACAATAAAGGATAATGTGAGATGACAACAGCATAAACTTGATGAAGTGCAATACAATATAATGATTTGTTTGTTTTGTTTATTTGTAATTAATGCTCTTCTCGGGTTACAATATGATGAAGGATATGACATAACTGTATCCCAGTAATGTGATAAAGTATAATATGACATGGCAACACGACAATACGATGAAGGATATGACATAACTGTATCCCAGTAATGTGATAAAGTATAATATGACATGGCAACACGACAATACGATGAAGGATATGACATAACTGTATCCCAGTAATGTGATAAAGTATAATATGACATGGCAACACGACAATATGATGAAGGATATGACATAACTGTATCCCAGTAATGTGATAAAGTATAATATGACATGGCAACACGACAATACGATGAAGGATATGACATAACTGTATCCCAGTAATGTGATAAAGTATAATATGACATGGCAACACGACAATACGATGAAGGATATGACATAACTGTATCCCAGTAATGTGATAAAGTATAATATGACATGGCAACACGACAATACGATGAAGGATATGACATAACTGTATCCCAGTAATGTGATAAAGTATAATATGACATGGCAACACGACAATACGATGAAGGATATGACATAACTGTATCCCAGTAATGTGATAAAGTATAATATGACATGGCAACATACAATATAATGAAGGATATGACATAATTGTCATGAGTCAAGACTCTACCTCTTTTCATTCTTGCAAGCATCCATGTTATCAGGGTTGATGTTCCATAGTCGAGTCAGCTCTCCACTGCCCATCTTGATAATCTTCCCTCCACTAGCTTTCAGATCATCCCCAATACGCCGGCGCTTCGCTCTGCATAGTCAAGAAGGAAAAACTATGTGAACATGGCATAGATAAATAACCTGAACCTGTCACTCTAACACATGGCATTGATAAATAACCTGAATCTGTCACACCAACTCATGGCATTAATAAATAACTTGAATCTGTCACTCTAACACATGGCATAGCTGGATCCCGTGGAGGCATAGTTCAACATAACCTACCTGACTTTCATTTTGGGCGCATCCTTTGGTGTCTCCCTCTCATAGCTGGGGCAGCCCTCGTTCTTCCAGTTGTTCCAGTTCTCCTCCCTCTGCAGAATGTGCTGTAACATGGATAATGTGCTGTAACATGGAGAATGTGCTGTAACATGGAGAATGTGCTGTAACATGGATAATGTGCTGTAACATGGAGAATGTGCTGTAACATGGAGAATGTGCTGTAACATGGATAATGTGCTGTAACATGGAGAATGTGCTGTAACATGGATAATGTGCTGTAACATGGATAATGTGCTGTAACATGGATAATGTGCTGTAACATGGAGAATGTGCTGTAACATGGATAATGTGCTGTAACATGGATAATGTGCTGTAACATGGATAATGTGCTGTAACATGGAGAATGTGCTGTAACATGGAGAATGTGCTGTAACATGGAGAATGTGCTCTAATGTAGGGAATCAACTGTGGCAGCAAACTTCTCCCCCTCTGGCAGTGTCTCTCTGATCAGCTGATACATTAGCCCAACCCACCCCTCCACCCTTCCTACCTCAACTGTGGCAGCAAACTTCTCCCCCTCAGGCAGTGTCTCTGATCGGCTGATACATTAGCCCTACCCACCCCTCCATCCTTCCTACCTCAACTGTGGCAGCAAACTTCTCCCCCTCAGGCAGTGTCTCTCTGATCAGCTGATACATTAGCCCTACCCACCCCTCCACCCTTCCTACCTCAACTGTGGCAGCAAACTTCTCCCCCTCAGGCGGTGTCTCTCTGATCAGCTGATACATTAGCCATACCCACCCCTCCTACCTCAACTGTGGCAGCAAACTTCTCCCCCTCAGGCAGTGTCTCTCTGATCAGCTGATACATTAGCCCTACCAACCCCTCCTACCTCAACTGTGGCAGCAAACTTCTCCCCCTCAGGCGGTGTCTCTCTGATCAGCTGATACATTAGCCCTACCCACCCCTCCACCCTTCCTACCTCAACTGTGGCAGCAAACTTCTCCCCCTCAGGCGGTGTCTCTCTGATCAGCTGATACATTAGCCCCACCCACCCCTCCACCCTTCCTTCCTCAACTGTGGCAGCAAACTTCTCCCCCTCAGGCGGTGTCTCTCTGATCAGCTGATACATTAGCCCCACCCACCCCTCCACCCCTCCACCCCTCCTACCTCAACTGTGGCAACAAACTTCTCCCCCTCAGGCGGTGTCTCTCTGATCAGCTGATACATTAGCCCTACCCACCCCTCCACCCTTCCTACCTCAACTGTGGCAGCAAACTTCTCCCCCCTCACGCAGTGTCTCTGATCAGCTGATACATTAGCCCTACCCACCCCTCCTACCTCAACTGTGGCAGCAAACTTCTCCCCCTCAGGCGGTGTCTCTCTGATCAGCTGATACATTAGCCCCACCCACCCCTCCACCCCTCCTACCTCAACTGTGGCAGCAAACTTCTCTCCCTCAGGCGGTGTCTCTCTGATCAGCTGATACATTAGCCCTACATACCCCTCCACCCTTCCTACCTCAACTGTTGTGGCAAACTTCTCCCCCTCAGGAAGTGTCTCTGATCAGCTGATACATTAGCCCTACCCACCCCTCCACCCTTCCTACCTCAACTGTGGCAGCAAACTTCTCCCCCTCAGGCGGTGTCTCTCTGATCAGCTGACACATTAGCCCCACCCACCCCTCCACCCTTCCTACCTCAACTGTTGTGGCAAACTTCTCCCCCTCAGGCGGTGTCTCTCTGATCAGCTGATACATTAGCCCAACCCACCCCTCCACCCTTCCTACCTCAACTGTGGCAGCAAACTTCTCCCCCTCAGGCAGTGTCTCTCTGATCAGCTGATACATTAGCCCTACCCACCCCTCCACCCCTCCTACCTCAACTGTGGCAGCAAACTTCTCCCCCTCAGGCGGTGTCTCTCTGATCAGCTGATACACTTTCTCCTGGGCATTCTTTAACCAGTTGCTCTGATCATCATTCAAGACTTGGGTAGCACTAAGTAGCAGTAAAAGAGAAACCAACATTATCACTCATAAAAATTATTAGGTTTTGCAGTAATTAAAAAAATATGAATTGTTCAAGATTCCAGTGAAAATGAAACTTCTTAGTGCTGTGCTGTGCTGTTAGGGGTGACTATCAGGGGCAATGTTACTGCTCCAACAGTATTGTGATAAGTGTAATGGTTACCTCTTCCTTCACCTAAATTAGATGTCCTTGCATCATTCAACATTATTTGGCAGAAAGTTAAGTGAATTCAGCTTGGTTTAGTTTTGTCCAATATAAACTCATGAACACATTCTGATTGGATACTCACATGTCTGTTAAAAAATGTACATCTTGGATACAAATAAATAAAAAAGTTAACAATCATTATTTTTTCATTTTCCTGTGCCTTTGGATACTATCAATAGAGTTGCACTACATAACTACTGATATTTATATGATATGCTGTGCCATAAAAGGCAATGTAGTGCTGTTCTGTGTGGTGCTTATGTTAGACAATGCTATAAACACTGAACTGAATACATGGTGAGTGGTTTGTGTGTAGCTCACTTCTTGAACTTGACCTGCAGGTTGAGGTACTGGAAGAGGATGAGGAACTGGACCAGCACATAACGCCGGAAATTGCTGTCACTCAGCTGCAGATCCAGAAGCTGAAACACACAATGTGGTACGTTGTAAACAGTCTAAGTCTACAGGCCTGACATGTTCTTTGGCAACAATTCAGAACATATTGCCTATTTAGAGTGTGAGATAATGTTGTAATTTCCGGCATGGGTCGACACTGGAATCCATCCTGGTGCATCTTGGACAATAGTTGAGCTGATGAGGCAGCAGAGAGTGACATCAGAATGATTGTACCTTTTCACTGGTGAGGTACTTTGCAAAAAAAGTCTGTGTGTCTGGCTGCTTCCTGGCATGTGGGTTCTTCCTCTGGGACTTGAGATCGTCCAGCTTTAGACTGTCAAAAGCTGCTAGCACCTCGTCTGCATTCTTTAAAAACAAAAGGCAAAGTCAGAACAGAACAGCATCAATATCAATAAAATCTTGCTAATATTGGTCCATCTTCTATCACTGGATGATGGCTCCAAGGTACTGCTCATCCTCTACGTCACAATGGATGCTGAGCCATGTTGATGTTGGAGCCTTCTTTCTCTCACCCCTGGGAATTCCTTGGTAGAGTAGGTCCCCCGAGCAATGGGATTGTGGTACAAATAGCAACAAAAGTGAGGACTGAGAGGCAACCATGTGTGACCTGGTTGATTTGGTCACTGAACCTTGAAAACTTTGATTTTGGCTGATGTTAAGAACAATTACCTATTGCAGTTTTTGCATATGAAAAAAATTTGGGAAGTTTGATGAAAGCAGTTGAAGGTCAATATGTCATTGTACCATGATTATCTATGAATTCTCCAAGCATGTTATTTTAAATTGAACTGGAATATAGAGTAAAGAATTACCACGACAAACTGTTTCCATGCCACTTTCTCGTAGCACTGTGCCGGTTTCCGGAAATATTCCTGCAGTGACCAGAATCTCCTATAAAGGTTGTAGTCTATGGGAACACCACTGGAGCTGGAATGAAAAGAATAGCAACATTACGATGGGGACTTATACAGCAGATCAGGATGTCACTGGGGCTGGAACACACTGTACAGGGAGATAACTACAGGGAACTAGGGTATACAACAGATCAGGACGTCACTGGGGCTGGAACACACAGTACAGGGAGATAACTATATGGAACTAGGGTATACAACAGATCAGGATGTCACTGGGGCTGGAACACACAGTACAGGGAGATAACTACAGGGAACTAGGGTATACAACAGATCAGGATGTCACTGGGGCTGGAACACACAGTACAGGGAGATAACTACAGGGAACTAGGGTATACAACAGATCAGGATGTCACTGGGGCTGGAACACACAGTACAGGGAGATAACTACAGGGAACTAGGGTATACAACAGATCAGGATGTCACTCTGACTTGAACACACAGTACAGGGAGATAACTACAGGGAACTAGGGTATACCACAGATCAGGATGTCACTGGGGCTGGAACACACAGTACAGGGAGATAACTACAGGGAACTAGGGTATACCAGAGATCAGGACGTCACTGGGGCTGGAACACACAGTACAGGGAGATAACTACAGGGAACTAGGGTATACAACAGATCAGGATGTCACTGGGGCTGGAACACACAGTACAGGGAGATAACTACAGGGAACTAGGGTATACAACAGATCAGGATGTCACTGGGGCTGGAACACACAGTACAGGGAGATAACTACGGGGAACTAGGGTATACCACAGATCAGGATGTCACTGGGGCTGGAACACACAGTACAGGGAGATAACTACAGGGAACTAGGGTATACAACAGATCAGGATGTCACTCTGACTTGAACACACAGTACAGGGAGATAACTACAGGGAACTAGGGGATACCACGGATCAGGATGTCACTCTGACTTGAACACACAGTACAGGGAGATAACTACAGGGAACTAGGGTATACCACAGATCAGGATGTCACTGGGGCTGGAACACACAGTACAGGGAGATAACTACGGGGAACTAGGGTATACCACAGATCAGGATGTCACTGGGGCTAGAACACAGTACAGGGAGATAACTACAGGGAACTAGGGTATAACACAGATCAGGATGTCACTGGGGCTAGAACACAGTACAGGGAGATAACTACAGGGAACTAGGGTATAACACAGATCAGGATGTCACTGGGGCTGGAACACACAGTACAGGGAGATAACTACAGGGAACTAGGGTATAACACAGATCAGGATGTCACTGGGGCTGGAACACACAGTACAGGGAGATAACTACAGGAAACTAGGGTATACCACAGATCAGGATGTCACTGGGGCTGGAACACACAGTACAGGGAGATAACTACAGGGAACTAGGGTATACCACAGATCAGGATGTCACTGGGGCTGGAACATACAGTACAGGCAGATAACTACAGGGAACTAGGGTATACAACAGATCAAGATGTTACTCGGGCTGGAACACACAGTACAGGGAAATAACTACAGGGAACTAGGGTATACAACAGATCAGGATGTCAAAGGGGCTGTGGAACACACTGTACTTGTCCATTGGCAGAAAATTATGGAGAATATTAATCTCCTAAAACAAGTTACATTAAGAGAATTTACTGATGCTATTCTATAAATTTGTATATGAAGGTTTTATAGCTTACCTTGAAAAGTCATCCATTTCTCCTTCCTCAACATCCATACTTTCATCCTTGCTGTCATCCTTCAGCTGAAAGGAAGAAGCAGATGTTCAGCACAAGCCCAAAAGGATCAGTACACTACTGTATAGCATGAATTAATGCAACCAGGAAAATAATGCAAATTATGCTATCATGCCTTTCTCAGTTTTTAACCTGGACATATTGGAGTATATTGTTATGTCTGACAGTCACCAACCATGTATGATGGCGTCTTTGTTCTTGGTGAGGTGAGGTGAAATGGGGTTTAACTTCACATTCAAGATTATTGCATTTATTCAGCGATGTGCATGCACGTGTGTGTGTGGCTGCTTGTACTAGTCCAGACTCATGACAATTTTATAGTGCTAGCCCACTGAAATACCATGCCGCAGTTTAACATGAATACCCCACTCAGACAGTATACTGACTCTGAGCCGACCAGTCATTGTTTTAGCCCCTTAGTGCAGAGAAGCAGGCAGGGTAACAACTAGTACCATCTGTTAGCGTCAGGACAGGAACAGCAGTCATGGTGAATACATTTAACTGCTCATTTACATTCCAAGAAAAGGGCTAACTCATACAGCAACACTTGGAAACCTGCACAATGTCATCGATCCCAATTGCGTGGATTGATGCTCATGATGTCAATCACTGGACTGTCTGGTACAGACTCGATTATTTACAGACCACCCTCATATAGCTGGAATATTGCTGAGTGCAGCGTTAAACAACAATCAAACAAACAAACAATGTCACCTTTAGAAATATTACTGCAATATGACATTGGCATCACATATTACCACCTGGAGAATTAAACCTGGGCCTTTGGTAAAACAAGCAAACACTTTAACCACTTAGTGACGACCCCACCCATTACTAGACAGGAAGTTCATGTTTAGATTTCAATTTCGTAGATGTCACCAAAGTGATTTCCAAAGAAATACAAGACACATATCTACAAGATGGTGACGAGAAACAGACAATGCAATGGTGTACCTTTATTTTGCGTTGATCTGACTTGACATTGTACACAGTGACGTTGTCCAGGTTGAACTGACTCATGAGGTTGAGAGCCGACTTCTCTGACAGTGGGAAGAGTCGGGACAGAAACAGCTGAATCCGACCACAGAACACAGTGTTCTGGGACTTGCTGAGACGACGAATTAAGTCTACAATGATAACAAATTCATCTTGGGTCACGGACATGCTCATATTGAGACTTTCTCTTAAAGTTGATCAGCCTCTTTCACTCAATCTGGACGTTCTCATGTATTAGACCATGTCAGAAGTCCAAAACTTCCACAAGTGAAAGAAAGGAAAAAGAATGGTTGTCAGCATTACATGTGTCAGATAAGTTACTTTGAACTTTGACATTTCTAGTGAGCCAAATGGGTGTTTATCCTACCTCAATCTCATTAAAATCAGATCTTAGTTCTCCCTACTGCTAAACAAAGATCTGGGGACATCCCATTGCAGGTCATGTCAGAACGACCTTTCATCTGACCAATCAGAGCATTGCTTATCAGATCATGAAAGTGACGGTTGGAATGTGATTTTTGATCGTGTTACCTCGAAAAAAACACACAGAGGGTATTCCGATCAAAAGTTATGGGCTTTATGTCTGTATTCATACAATCTAGACCATCTTTTGTTCAGGTTTTAATTTTTTAATCAAGTGTATGTCAAAATATGTTTCGGAGCGTAGTCGCCAGTTTGAAACCCTTGCCGTAAAGCTCGATGAAGCTGCCTTCTGATTGGCTATTCCATATTGGTAGGTCAAAGTTTGAGAAAGGGCTGTCTGAAGTGAACTGTAATGGGATGTCCTCAGATCTTTGTTTAGCAGTAGCGAGAGATCTTATTATAATGAGATTGTATCCTACCTCTTTCCTTTATGATTACAGTAATAAATGTATTGTTAATACCATATGACTAGCATGGGCTTGTGACATGCATATAGAACCTCTGTCAGGCCTACCAACTTCTACTGATATTTACGGACTTAGCAAGTGGTGTTAGTCTGTTATTTTGTTTGTCAATAAAATATTTACAAGGAAGATTATGCAACAATATGTATTTGACGGTCTGCAGGAAGGAGATATTGCGTTCAGCACGTTTAGCTGAATGAAACACAACATACCATTGCACATTCGTAGCAGATAGTTTTTTCCAGCATCATAGAACATGCTCTGAAAAAAAAAGCAAATTTGGGTGAAATTGAAACATTGAGTTGACAAAGACAAGTATATACTACAATACACATGACTCATCCATAACTATCAACTCATGCTGGTCTTGCTAGTTATTTCAATGTTGGCTTGATAAAGTCACTGGCAAATGCTTGATAAAGGCACTCGCAAATGCTTGATAAAGACACTTGCATGTGTACCAAAACATCACATTGAAAGAATAAAGATGTTAAAATCCATTTCAACCTGTCTTGATTGATTCTAAAGAACTTAAATGCTAATTAAACAAGTTATAGATAACATTATATGAGGCCTTCAACAAGCCGGCACTCACAGACTTCCATGTTGTCACTTTCTCCTCCACGATGTTAAACACCTCCTCACACTTGTCCAAGGTCATCATGTCAAAGATGTCCGACAACATCAGGAATGGTGTGGAAGCAGAGCACATCTCTGTCAGAAATATTCAACAGTCATACAATAGTCACATACATGTGTTTGATTGTTTGTTTCTTTAAATGAGTGAGTGAGTGAGTGAGTATGGTTTTTACGCCGCTTTTAGCAATATTCCAGCAATATCACAGTGGGGGACACCAGAAATGGGCTTCACACATTGTACCCATGTCGGGCATCGAACCCTGGTCTTCGGCGTGACGAGCGAACGCTTTAACCACTAGGCTACCCAACCGCCCCTTGTTTCTTTAACGCAACACTTAGTAATATTTCAGCTACATGATGGCAGCCTGTAAAAAAAATCAAGTCTGACCACGCAATCCCTTAGGATGCGTCTAACAAACATAGGTTGCTGGGGACCTTTTCTAACCCGGAATTCTCTCTGGGTTGACAGAGCTGATGGCTCCACTTGTCATCAGGAAACCCAATTTTTCCACATTTCCCAAGCAAAAGAACTCTGAGTAATAACATAACCTCCTCAGAATTATGCATTATCTGTAGCTCATGAAATAATATGGAACCATCAATAACAGCATCTTCCACTCTGACACAGGGGAGATAATCCATAATTTCTTATAGTTCGTGGTCATTCCATAAATATGTCACCAGTCTTTATCATGTTTATCGTTATGTAAATGTGCATATTTTAGTATTTCTTACTTTGGTTTACCTTTGTAAATTCTATTTACTATGACTATTATCCAACGGTTTCCTGTGAGAATTCCATTCCTGTTTGGCAAGTGTCATTTCCTAACACTGACAATCCTATCTACGTAAAAAAATTACTAATGACTCACACAGCTATCCAGATTATCACCTTATCAACATAACATGTACTTTGGGATAAAAACACTAAAAGCAATTGCATGTATTTACAATAAGTGATGAATTACCTCGTCATTGAGTCAGCGATATCTACTAGTACTATAGATGTCTACAGATGTATGCAACATCATGTCTATTACCGTGGTGACCTATAGATGCCTATATACATATGCTGTATGCAACATCATGTCTGTTACCGTGGTGACCTGTAGATGCCTATATACATATGCTGTATGCAACATCATGTCTGTTACCGTGGTGACCTGTAGATGCCTATATACATATGCTGTATGCAACATCATGTCTGTTACCGTGGTGACCTGTAGATGCCTATATACATATGCTGTATGCAACATCATGTCTGTTACCGTGGTGACCTGTAGATGCCTATATACACATGCTGTATGCAACATCATGTCTGTTACCGTGGTGACCTGTAGATGCCTATATACATATGCTGTATGCAACATCATGTCTGTTACCATGGTGACCTGTAAATGCTTACCAATATATCAAATCCTGTATGCAGCATCATGCCTGTTACCATGGTAACCTACAGATGCCTTATGATATGTCATGTCTGTTACCATGGTTACCTTTCATCATGAACTCACCTTTAGATGCAGCTTCTACAGAAAAGTGTATCAAAGCCTTGAAAACATCATAGCCCTTTTGGAAAACCTGAAGTAGAAACTTTAACACTTAGCAATCAAACTGCTACAAATTCTTATTTTGTTTCCTGCCTGAATTGATACTGTCAGTTTAAACTCTTCACTGGTGGTGTCACAACATGGCGATTCAGTTTTGTATCTGGATACGAAGCCCACGATAGAATACATTGACCTACAACCCCTGAATCGTGATACATACAATACATTACATTACATTACACGTTATAATGGTGTAAAAACACATGAATGATAACAAATAAGACGTTATTATCAGTTAGTTATTGAACAGTAAATGTCAACACATTTGTAATGAAAACGTTAAACAGTTTGGAAGTGTTTATCTCGCATGTCTTGATTTGTCATTCAACTGCAATGGAAAGAAAATCAACTTATGAAATACAAGTACTGTATCAGGATACAAATTGTATCACACCCATAGTATCGGGCTACGTATCACAACCCAGGGCTCCATTTAAGGAAGTTGATTAAACTTGCACGGGGTGCCTGTGGGTGTGAAAACCTAGTTGCACCAGACAAACTCTGGTTGCACCTTGTTCCCATAAACTGATCAAAGTTGAAACATGGATGCATAAACTAGTAAAATCTCAGTTCTCGGACTGTGTTGTGTGTCATGAATTACACATAACACAGGGATTGATGATGTAATATGGTAAATTAGGCTTAGAGGTATTGAATGTGTCCAAAGATCGTTGGTTTGTTGTTTAACATGTTTAACGCCGCACTCAGCAATATTCCAGCTATATGACGGCGGTCTGTATATAATCAAGTCTGGACCAGACAATCCAGTGATTAATGTCATGAGCATCGATCCACTCAATTGGGATCGATGACATGCATCGACCAAGTCAGCGAGCCTGACCACCCGATCCCGTTAGTCGCCTTTTACGACAAGCATTAACCTTTTAGGGCAAGCATGGGTTGCTGAAGACCTATTCTACCCCGGATTCTTCACCAGAGATCGATGTTATGTGACAAGTAAGGGTTAGTCAGAGAAAAAATTTAATTGTTTTTACATGCATTTGGTGAATGTAGACATAAACATCACATTGCATTTTTCAATAACAAGATGCACTGATGCATGTTTTATACAGCTAAATCGAGCCCTGTGACACCATTGTATTGTAACACCTCTATTCACAACAGGTGACATCTATCATTCTGAGTCAATTGTTACACTAATACCCCAGGCGAAATTCAAAGTTCGATCCTGAAGCTTACATTTGCCTCTGGTGTTGGGCACACTATGACGTCCAAATAGTGGAACATGTGTGATGTACGAGGGGGTCCATCAACAAATCAAAATCTTAAACCTCTGTAACATTCAATCAAATGCACACAAAAGGAGCAATAGCCAGGACAGAGGCCATCTCGAGACATCAAATGAAGCAGTTCCCGTTTCCATCGTGGTCTTGTTCCACATAGCTGTCTTCATCTTCCTGAGACAAGGGCGTTAACTGATTAAAAAGTCCACCCTTGCCAAATTATGCTCGATAGTAGCACCACCAGTGGATATTACGAGTTATGTCCCTCCTATTAACCAATCAGATTCCACCTCTCATTTCACTTGCATTTGCCCCCCCTAAAAAAGGTAGCATTCAGTCAAGACGATCTGATAGATAATCAAAATTATATATTGGAATGAAACCAGTCTTACCTCGTAAGGTGCATCAAATCTTGAGCACCTTGATTATAAACGGAAAAAGATTTTCAAAATATCTGTTGATGCCCAGTTTGCGGTACAAATGCTTTGCAAATCCTGCATGTTGAAATCCATGTTGTTTATGCGCAAGTTGTCTAGTTTGTTCCACAATTTTGATTGGACTATCCAGATACTCGTTAGTCCAACCAAAATGTAACTCCTGAATTCAAGACTAGTTTGGCAAGGGTGGAAACTTGACTTTTATAGTCAGTTAATGATCTTGCCTCAGGAAGATTAGCTATTTTAGAGCCATGACTATGTTGTATAATGGATTCAGGAAATGTAGAACAATGGTTTTAATTCACACAGAGCACATGGCATACATGCAGGCAGACATATTGGAACTCAATCCTTCTACTCCCTCACTGAAGAGTACATTTTATAACATAAGCTGTCCTGAGATATCTTCCCTAGACCATACCATGAACACATTATGCCATCAGGAGTTATCTCCCATAGACCACTACATTGAGTTACATAAAACCATAACAGACTATGGTAAGTCTATGTAAAAACATTGGACTAACAATCATCATTGGGAGAAGATTGCTTTGTGGAACGGAGCAACGTCGGTCTACTTACCAAAGCTTCTTTAAGTGCATCTCTTAGGGACTGATCCAGTGCCAACTTCTTTTCTGTTTCACTGTAACATCAGTCAATGTTCAAATCTATGCATGAAAATCAAGGGGTCCATGTCATAATTAAACTGTTAACAATTAAGGAGGTCCCTAGATTTAAATGCACAAGCTGCAAACCACTAGGTTGCCATGGCAGCCATATTGAAAATCAGTCAGGTGAGCTAAAAAGGAATAATTTCATGTTCAGCGCTATCTAATCATTTAAGGGGACATTATACAATAGTTTTTGAGGAAGCAAACACCACATCGATGTAAAGAGCTTATAAAAATATTTCCTGCAAGGTGACATCATTTGCATATTTATCGAAGCATGATACAAAGTTTGTCAGATTGGTTTATTGCATGGATAACACTAACCATGTGCTACCCAATATACGATAAATGAAAATATCATGACATATACCATGTTAATACAGATAACAGTACTGGTGTTAGGATATGAATGTTACACGAACGACAAAGAACTGGGGACTAATTCGTTTGAATCCCACTTTGACACAAAATGGCAATCACTGTCTACCCACCTGCCAGAATATTTGTCAATTCCCTCAAGTGTGGTTTGGACCTCCTCACTTGAATGATGGAGAAACTCCTGAAAGACAAGACAACTGATGCAACAGTGGTACATGTGTATCATGAACAATGATGAACATGATGTATAACTTCAGCATGTTCAATGTTTAAAAAAAGGAGTTGCTATGTCATGTACGTCATGCAAATATGGCTGAAATATTGGTGAAATGACACTAAATTATAAAACAGTCAAAAGCAGACAAGCTGCCATTCAGATTAAGCATTGACAAGTCACTTCAATATGTTCACAACAAATAATTGTTTAGAGATAGTTAGATAACAATTTTCATAATAATGAAAACTTGACCTCACAAAAGAAAATTCAACAAAGTTTGACATAGGTCCATAATTCCACATGTCATCAAAATTAAGCATACCATATTAAGCACCTCCTAACCAAATTCATCAGCGGAGTATTTACGGGGGAACGGTAGGCCCAGTCGTCTAAGGCGCCTCAATTAGCTGTGCAGAGTTGCGTCCCTTGGGCACACCAGAAACCTATGATTATTGGTTCGGATCCCGGTTTGCCCCGATTATGTTTCTATGTTTGTCAGCGCCATACCCGTGTGCACGGGTTTCACCGAAGTGGAAAACGTCTGAGACATGCATCAATTCAGGCTTTCCTCCCACATTATGCTGACACGCCGTGATATGACTGGAATACTGTTAAAAGCAGCGTTAAACCCAACTCACTCACTCACTCACTCAGAGTATTTACAAAGTCTGTATGACAACACACCTCTTGTTACAGTGCGAGTAATCACGATAAACATGGTCATCCGAAAACATGATGTCCGAAAACCTATGATCCGACGATACATACCGTATTCGACCTAATAAGCGCCCAGGGCGCTCTCAAAATTAGAAATAGGGGATTCTTTTAGAATAAAATTTTAGTGGAAAGATCGTTAATTTCGTGGTTTATGCTGACAGCCTGAAATGATACAAAGGAAACGTCTGTGCTTATTATACGTATTATATTTTTCCAGAATTTAATTGCCCATTATTAAGGATGCATATTACACACAAGTGCGTATTATACACGAATAAATAAGTCTTGTGTACATTGATCAATATTGGAAGGGGTGCTAATTGGGATTGTTCACTAGCCAATATATTAGCAAATATTGTTGTGGGTGCTTATTAGAGCGGGGCGCTTATTACATCGAATACGGTATTTGCGAAGTAACAAAAAAATTAGTTTCATCGACATTATCATGATTATAACAGAATTTGTTCTCTACTGCTAGAGGTAGCATTGACAACAAACTACCTTGTGTACGTCAGTATGGTTTAAAGAAACGCTCCTCCTTGTCAATATTCTAAGCGCATAGTGCTCTTTTTACGGTACCTTTTCATTTGTTTGAGTGTGTCATAGACAAATTTGACCATTATAAAACAGAATTGGACAGTCATGTACTTTACAATGTCTATGTGACATGAATTAATGATGACATGAATAGGTGTGTATATTTAATGGATGCCACTGCAACTACCGCGGAAGTATAACCTGGAGTCGGACGCTAGTTCATACATTTTGTAATTTGCATTCTCTGAACCAGAACCTTCATGCACGAAAACAGAAACACAGTTAGAGAATCGGGGTTTTCAGTGATACATTTGAACGGTGGTTACATAAATGTTATATAGACACATATGAGTTCCTTTAATTAATCTTCTAATAAACGGCTGATAAAGAAGCACAACCCAAAATTCAAGAAACATACTGTAAACTTTTTTCTTGATGCTGAAAAGTCGAAATGCATGGAGGCAGCCATATTTGTTTTTCTACACATAAAGTGTGACGTATTTCACAAGCACCTCACCCTGCTGGTGCCGTGTCAACATCGCCAGCTTTGTATTCTCTACGGGTAGACATACTGTGGTTACATTGCTGAGTGAATATCGAGAGGGTGCTTCTACATTGCAGTGAGAATGTTTTCTTGTTATTGTCAGTGTGGCAAAATAAAATACTTTGAATTCAGTGCAAATTTAAGTCGCTGACCGCTCATCAGCTGTCGAGTGGCTCATCGTGATTTTCTAAAAAAGTAACCCTTCATGTACGATAGCAACAAGAAGCATGTCAGGAAGTATGGTATCAGAATACTGACTGCATCAAATATAAACACAGTAATTTGTTATTGTTGCATCATGTACATTGACATATATAAAATTACTAATATTTTGCTACCAGCAGTGAGGACGCAATCTTGATAAAATAAACACGAACTAAAAGTCATTAAAGGGCAACAACTCCAAATTAAAATACTGAAATATGGATGACCTCTCTCTTTGCGGTTTCAAAATTTGCTTATTATGAACTATAATCTCAACTGATCTGATTTTTGTTAAGCACTAATCAGTATCTGGTGATTACGCGGACTAGTTACTTTGGCAACGGTGAGATTAAAGAATTGGAATATTGTTGTCCTTCAAAGGGAGTAGTGCTCTTTACTGGGTACACTTTTTTGGATCTCAGTTAGTGTTGCACAGAGGATGGAACTTCCATAGCGAGGCTGAAGCTAAACAAGGCTGATGCCTTATTAGTAGTCATCTCTTTACCATGGGACTATGCAGCTGTCACAAATAATTATTGCTTGTTTACCTTGATTTATATGCCAAACTGGAAACTTGGTAACAATTTAACTTGGTAACAAACAGAGTTTACTCAAACTACACTGGATTAATTTGTTAAAAGAATTAAGACAGCCAAAGCCATTCCGATAACTCTCAACTAACCGCAATCACCATGAAGTGTTTAATTGGAAATGGATACAAAGCCCTATGATTGCAGATGGATTCTTGATTGGGAAGGGGCTTTAAGGACTAAAGATAGAACTTGGGGGTAACCTACCCTAACACAACTAACCCTAAGGATCGAAGATGCATGTAAGATCAGTGATGTGAACGCCACAGCTTTAGCCAATAAGCTTTATAAGCTGTGCTTGGTAAACAGCAGTCTTGCCATCATTAAAATTGTTTTAACTTATTCAAGTCATATCATGGCAGGGATACCAAGAATGGGATTCACTCATTGCAGCCATTTGGGGAATCAGACCTGATTCATGGCTGTGTGCATACTTTAACCATGTATTTTCCACTAGACTGTCCTACCGCAGCAGAGTTTATTGAATGATGATCCCAGTCATGCCAGCAGTGGTGTCTCCCCAAGAACTCATAGAACAGGTTTAATGAGTGTCTATTGCCATTGCCTGTTCACAGTTTTGGTCCAGACTTACTTTTGTAGCACACGACCAAAGTTGACTGACTTTGTTGATGCATGTCATTGTATCCCAATTGCATAGATCAATGCTCATGATGTCAATCACTGGATTTTCTGGTCCAGATTTGATTATTTACAGATCGCCATCATAAATAGGCATATTGCTGAGTGTGGTATAAACAACAAACAAACAAAAACAAACTGATAACCACTAGGCTTATCTTCTTTGCAGCAGCAAGACCTTCAATAGAACTTTCTGATTAAAAGGGTGTCTGTTGGTGATGTCCAGATTTCCAGTTCAACCAAATGACGGCCGGAGACAAGTATTTCCAAACATGAAGTCAGGCACTGTTGCTGTTCCCATGGCGACAGGGGATGAGAAGAAAGAGGAAGTTGTATTGTTTGGCATTGATTTGTCCAACCTTACCCGCAGTATGCAGTTCATGATTCTCACTGTGGCAACCTTCTTCTTCTACCTCATCTACGGCTATCTTCAGGTAAACAGCTGTAGCCATGGTAACACTATGTACATGTATGAGGTTCTGTAGGAATAATGATTTGTTGCTGTGAGATATTTTAATACAAGACTAAGTTATAGTCACTAATTGTGCAATTATTCAGGATATTACACAAGTTTCAATTCATCAACTCAGTAGGGCATCCGGATGAGAATCATGATGGAAATATTACTGTTGAAAATGTATTGGCAGTCAATTATATTTTTGTCATCATAGACAACTAAGTATAATGTCATTAAGAAAAAGGTACCACAAGATGTTCTGATATATCTGAGAACTTGAAAAACAGCTAAATCCCATTGTATCCAAGTTTGGGGTGAAGTGTCTATTCAACAAAAAGGTAGTTTAACACATCCTCACCCATCGATCAAGCATTAATCATTTGTTAATATACGTAGCTGAATAAAATGAGATTTTGTTCCACTAGTTCTCTGGTTTATGACTCAGTTTCAGCTTGTCCTTATCAAGTTAATAGTCATTCCTACTGTTGGGACTCAAGGTTAGAAAAGGACCCAGAATCCTATGCTTGTCATTGGAGGCAACTAAGTTGGGTTGAGCGGTCTTAATGACTTGTTTGATTTCGTGTCATTGTACCCTGACCGCATGTTATGGTTATGTATATTTAATTTTAACTTCAAATGTTCAACCAGTTATTGGACCATCTCTGTGGTCTAGTAGTTAGAGCGTTGGCCAGAGAGCGGAGGTTGGTGAAATGGTCCCTAGCTGCATCGTACCAAAGGACAAGTGAAAAGTACTTGTTGTTACCCTGTCTGGCGTGGGGCATTTAGGGGATAAAACAAGGATTGGTCGGCACGAAGTCAGTATTCTGTGTTTGAGTAGGGTATCCATGTTAAACTGTGGCATGGTATCTCAGTTTGGTTGGCTGGCACTATAAAACTGGAATTGGTCCCCACTAGTGCAAGCAGGCAGTCACACACACAAGCACGCACACCACACACCACACACCACACACCACACACCACACACCACACACCACACACACAATCACTATATGAGTGCAACATTCTGGAATGTTCTGTTAAGCCCCATGACATTGAATCTATACAGATTACAGACACACTTATTGGTCCTATCAAGATAGTCTGCTTTGGTTTCATTGAAATACTACAGTGTAGGTTACCATTCTCTCTTATTCTTTCAGGAGCTAATTTTCCAACTACAAGGATTCAAACCTTTTGGATGGTACTTGACACTGGTACAGTTTGCCTGCTATACATTGTTTGGACTTGCTGAGCTGCAGTTTAAGCAGGACAAGAGCAGAAAGTAAGTTCGGTTTAGCTTTTGAAATCATCCCTGTGTATAGTTAGCACAATATTCATACAGTGTATAATAGTATACCAGTCTCAGACTTTTGCCACTAGTCCGAAGCCCAAGTCTAGTAACATTCTTTTTGGTCTAGTACGCTTAGCCAGTAATAGCCTAATCAAAACATCAAAATCTACAGAAAATTATTCTTATAGCCAATATGGGGCTTGTTGATTCAAAGCTTTTGGCAAAGACAGTTCCAAGTAAGTATCAGATTAGATACAGATCCTGTTTGGTAGGCAGAGCAAGCATGTACTGTTGTGTGGGTCATCTACCCCCTTTGACTCCACCTCGCCTAAACTGCTGATCGTCTATAACACTCATCAATTATTTGCTCCCCCCCCCCCCCAAGGGATCACTGTAGTTTGTAATCAGGCAGTCAGGTCAACTGTTTAAGGTTGTAAGAATGGTAAGATCCCTTTTTATCACAATCTTTTGAACATAAACAATTCTATGGTTTAATTAATTGTAACCAACACTGTTTCTCCTCCGCTATTTTGATTGAATGCACCAGCGTTGTTTTATCTTTTATATAAGGCAAGAAAATATGAAAGAATTGCTTCATTTGATATAAATCTTTGAGTGTCAAGTTGGTGGGTAGCTAATACCCTTTCACACTACAAGAGTTATGAAAGTTGTATCACTAAGATTGGTGTATTTCCTGTTTACAGAATACCAATGCAGGCATATTGGTTGCTTGCCTTCCTGACAGTGGCCTCCATGGGCTTGTCTAACACCTCGGTGGGCTACCTCAACTACCCCACACAGGTGATATTCAAGTGCTGTAAGCTCATCCCAGTACTCATTGGAGGAATTCTCATTCAAGGTACTCTCATTGAAAATGGTGACAATTAGATTTAGATATCTGCTCTTCTCCGATTCATTGTATGTCCAAGAATATTCTTAGATCTATGGTACCGGTATATATCCTGTCTGTGGCAGAACTTATTATGGCATGGCCACAAAGGTAATTACTGCTATAATATTTCCTCATTCCAAAGATTTTCTGATCTGAGGCCTGACACCTTGTCCACATGACCAAAGAGGTTACCCTGTCAGCAAGCTGACACAGTAAGGATGTTATCCATGGGATGACTCCATGTCCTGCTACATACTCTCCATTCAACAGGAGGCACGCCTTGGGCCACTGATTGTGCTCAAATTTGGTATGAATGTGCTCAGCCTCATGTTGGGCGCCAGTAAAGCAGTCATAAAATGTTCAAGTCATGTGATTCGAACAATGGACCTCCTGATATGAGGTCGGACACCAAAGAGGTTAGTGGTAGAGTGTCTGCTCAGTGAGTGGAAGGTCTGGGGTTCGATCCATGGCCGCATCATACCTAAAGACGTGAAAAGATGGTACTTGTTGTTATCTTGCCTGGTGCTCGGCATTAGGATTGGTCTGCTCGAAATCAGTATACTGTATCTGAGTGGGGTATTCATGTTAAACTGCAGCATGATATCTCAGCAGGCTAGCACTATAAAATCGGCATAAGTCCGGTCTAGTACAAGCAGACACACACACACACATGCATGCACGTCGCTATATAAGTGCGATGATCTTGAACACGACGTTAAACTCCATTTCACTTCACTATCTCATGTGAACAATGTCGGTGAAGTTTCTCTGTAGGGCTGACATTTCGTACCTTTTGGGGTCATGTATATAGAATATCCATCTGGAAATGATGAATTATGGATTATCAGTCCCTATTGAATAAATGCTATACATCCCCACAATTGGGCTTGCAGTTACACCATTCTGTCAGTGGGGACAGATGATGCATTATTCCTCAAAGCGTGTTACACAATGTTATACATTTATGATCAGATATGTCATGCTGTTTTAAATATACACATTTTGTATATGATGAAAAGATAAACATGTCCCTGTCAAAAGTGAATAAGTTAATGTTAAACTTGTAGTGCAAGTCATGAGACATCTACCTGGACAAAAGATCTAAGGTGTTATCATGCTCTAGGAGACTTCATCAATGATCAATGTCTTTTCTGCCGGGAGGCAAAATTTTGTTTGTCCTCCTAACTGTTGGAAGGTCACTTATGCTAGAATCAGACAGGTTTTTTATGTCTCAACAAGACTATTATTTCGGCCCTTATGTCTTGCATTGATCCAGGCTATTTCATCAGTTCAGAGGGCAGTTCATTATAATCACCAATATATTGATGTAGTTTCAGCTGTTAGCAGAGTTAGAACAAATACCATGTCCAATTCTTTGTTTCAGGAAAGAAGTTCAACGCTATAGACATCACAGCGTGTCTAATGATGAGCATTGGGCTTATCCTGTTTATGCTTGCAGACTCTAGCGTCTCGCCAAACTTCAACCAGTATGGTAAGAGTTGTCCCCCTTTATCAGTGTTGATAACACCAAACACATAATTTCTTACTCAATTATCAAATCGCAAAAAGGTCACCACATCTTCATACATGGTTTTTAGGTATACAGTAGTGTTTCTTAATTATATAAAGGTTTAAAATTAATTACAATTTTTATGGCAACAAAATGAAAAAGAGTACATTTTTTAACCTTATCCTATCTCTCACTATTCATTTCATCCTTCTTTTCCAGTCCTTGTGTGGAAATGATCCTAAAAAAGCTTCCAGCTTAAAAAAACACCTCACGCAAAGCCAAGCCTGCCTTAACCATTGTTACCATCACCATTTATTTCTGTATACATGTACATGATATGACATATGATCCTCCTGGATGCTGAGATCCAGCCTTCTTCATCTGCGCTGACGTGGGTTTGTCTTGCCAAAACCCAATTAATTACAGGCTTTTGTGATAAAGCTGGAATATTGATGCCTGGGGCATAAAAACAACACCCATTTCATGTTTCCCCAACAGGCTCTATGAGGAATATATGTCAGGTGTTACAGATAATTTAGTCTCCTTGGTTATCGTATATTTACTTTTACTAACTTGCCATACTGACTTCCCCAGGTGTCATACTGATATCTCTTGCCCTGTGTTCCGATGGCGCCATAGGCAATGTCCAGGAGAAAACAATGAAGAAGTACAGTGCCTCAAACTCAGAAATGGTAAGTGTGACCATAATAAGTGTTGATTTGATTCATTTGATAAACTGAACAAAATAGTAAACAAGGTTATCTAAACATAGTCCTGACATTATTTCATGCATAATGAATGTTTAAAGATTATTACCACTCTTGAGGTCAAGTCTGACCCATGAAGATTCCAGGGTAGAATAAGGTCTTCAGCAACCCATGCTTGCCGTAAAAGGTGACTATGCTTGTTGTAAAAGGCGACTAACGGGATCAGGTTGTCAAGCTCGCTGACTTGGTTGATGCATGTCATCAATCCCAATTGCGTGGATCGATGCTCATGATATTAATCACTGGATTGTCTGGTCCAGACTTGATTATTTACAGACAGCTGTCATATAGCTGGAATCTTGCTGAGTGTGGCATCAAACAACAAACCAACCAATGAGGTCAAGTCTCTGGCAAGTCATTATGGCAAAATCGTATACAACGAACAAAGCATCAGGTGTATGTTTTTTACCTCAGGCAGTTTAAGCTATTCGATTATTATTATTTGTTTATGATTTCTTTCGTCTGCCTTGAAATTCAACATGGAGATGAGAGAAATGCAAAATAGTATTGATGACCTGATGTGTGAAGCAGTGATGGCAACACTGGGTTACTGATCACACACACATGCACACGCGCACGCACACGCACGCACACGCGCGCACACACACACACACACACACACACACACACACACACACACACACACACACACACACACACACACACACACACACACACACACACACACACACACACACACACACACACACACACACACACATGCACCTTGCTAGTTGATATTGCTTAGTGATTTCATTACAGTGTATTGCTTCTAGGTGTAGAGGGAGCAGTGGGATAGCCTAGAGGTTAATGCATTTGCTTGTCATGGCAAAAGCCTTGGTTTGACTCCCTACATGGATACAATGTGTGAAGCCCATTTCTGGTGTCCACAACTATGATATCACTGGCGTATTGCTAAAAGCAGATTATAATCACACAATAACATGACACAAAAAGATTATAGATGGCATCACAGAAAAGATTTGACTTGTTAATACCGAAATGAGTATCGATTCAAAGAAACGTAACTCAAGACATCTTTTGTGTACAGGGATTTATCTGGACCTGCTCCGGGCAGATATTCGGCCCTTAGTCTGCAGCAAATACCAGTAAAACTTCCAAAATAAGTATGAAGAAGTTCCCAATCCTTAGCATCAAAGTTGTAACTAATGTTATGGTTTTGTAGAGGTGACATGAATTTCACTTATTACAGCACCATAAAACACAATAGAGAGGAATATATTTTAGTTGAACGTCATTGCATTAAATGTTAAATTACAGTGTTAAAATATTCCTGAATTTATTTCCCAATTAGCCTGCCGAGGTCACCTTGTAGAGAATGCTATCCGAAGGTAGATGGTGTAGCGGTCAGATTGATGGAGTGAGTGAGTGAGTTGGGTTTAACGCCGCTTTTAACAGTATTCCCGTTATATTGCGGCATGTCAGCTTAATGTTGGAGGAAAACCCGAAGTGATGCACGGGTATGGTGCTGACAAACCTAGAAACATAATTGGGGGGACCCGGGATTCGAACACACAATCATAGGTTCCTACGTGCCAAAGGGACGCAACTCTGCCCCCTCAAATTAAAGGATAGCATTTCCTTTATACTGTTGGTTCTGTTTCAGGTGCTGTATTCCTATGGGGTTGGGTTTCTTTACATTTTGGTTGGACTCTCCGTCAGTGGCCAGATAGTTCCAGCGTTTGTTTTCTGTCAGGATGTAAGTTGTTATTTGTGTGTAAAATACACTTACTACATTCTAGAAGCATGTTTAGGGATATTTCTCCATGATGGAAATTGTTCAAAGCGGGGGTTAAACCTAACTCACTCACAAACTCCTGATTGAAATCATTCATGTTTCAGGTTTTTTCACTCAATATGCCCCAAATTGTGTCTAATTGGGTCAGCTGTGTATTTGTTATGTTGTTATATTTCAGCATATAGTGAAGACCTACGGCTATGCTGTGTTGTTCTCTGTGTCTGGGTACCTAGGCGTCAGTGTCGTCCTCACCCTGGTCAAGTCTTTCGGGGCACTTGTAGCTGTCACAGGTAATAGATAGTCTTTGTTGGAGCCATGAGCTAAAATTTGAACCTTAATAAAGTTGTGATCAACAAGTTGAATTATCCATTTCCACATATCATCTATTCATCCAGACAAGCTGTAACCTGTACAATACACTGTCTGAATGGTTGATATACACACTGTCTGAATGGTTGATTTACACACTGTCTGAATGGTTGATATACACACTGTATTAATGGTTGATATACACACTGTCTGAATGGTTGATATACACACTGTCTTAATGGTTGATATACACACTGTATTAATGGTTGATATACACACTGTCTGAATGGTTGATATACACACTGTCTGAATGGTTGATATACACACTGTATTAATGGTTGACATACACACTGTCTGAATAGTTGATATACACACTGTCTGAATGGTTGATACACACACTGTCATAATGGTTGATATACACACTGTCTGAATAGTTGATATACACACTGTCTGAATGGTTGATACACACACTGTCTTAATGGTTGATATACACACTGTCTGAATGGTTGATATACACACTGTCTTAATGGTTGATATACACACTGTCTTAATGGTTGATATACACACTGTATTAATGGTTGATGTACACACTGTCTGAATAGTTGATATACACACTGTCTGAATGGTTCATATACACAGTGTATTAATGGTTGATATACACACTGTCTGAACAGTTGATATACACACTGTCTGAATGGTTGATATACGGTACACTGTATTAATGGTTGATATACACACTGTATGATCATGATGATGGTTGATGTACACACACTGTATTAATGGTTGATATACGGTACACTGTATTAATGATTGATATACACACTGTATTAATGGTTGATATACGGTACACTGTATTAATGGTTGATGTACATGTTGTATTAATGGTTGATTAGGTACACTGTATTAATGGTTGATATACACACTGCATAAATAGTTGAAAAACACATTCTATTAATGGTTGATATACACACACTGTATTAATAGTTGATATACTGTACACTGTATTAATGGTTGATATACACACTGTATTAATGGTTGATGTACACACTGTATATATAGTTGAAAAACACATTCTATTAATGGTTGACTGTTGTTTCAGTGACAACATGTAGGAAGGCTGTCACCATCATCCTCTCCTTCCTCTTCTTCACAAAACCATTTACATTCCAGTAAGTAACTGTTTTCTAGTGTAGCTACCTTCAGTAAGTACAGGTGTATGCAAGTGGTCAGTACGTACATGTGTATGCAAGTGGTCATTACGTACAGGTGTATGCAAGTGGTCAGTAAGTACAGGTGTATGCAAGTGGTCAGTAAGTACAGGTGTATGCAAGTGGTCAGTAAGTACAGGTGTGTGCAAGTGGTCAGTAAGTACAGGTGTGTGTAAGTGGTCAGTAAGTACAGGTGTATGCAAGTGGTCAGTAAGTACAGGTGTATGCAAGTGGTCAGTAAGTACAGGTGTGTGTAAGTGGTCAGTAAGTACAGGTGTGTGCAAGTGGTCAGTATGTACAGGTGTGTGTAAGTGGTCAGTAAGTACACGTGTGTGCAAGTGGTCAGTAAGTACACGTGTGTATAAGTGGTCAGTAAGTACAGGTGTGTATAAGTGGTCAGTAAGTACACGTGTGTATAAGTGGTCAGTAAGTACAGGTGTATGCAAGTGGTCAGTAAGTACAGGTGTGTGTAAGTGGTCAGTAAGTACAGGTGTGTGTAAGTGGTCAGTAAGTACAGGTGTGTGCAAGTGGTCAGTAAGTACACGTGTGTGTAAGTGGTCAGTGAGTACAGGTGTGTGCAAGTGGTCAGTGAGTACAGGTGTGTGCAAGTGGTCAGTAAGTACAGGTGTATGTAAGTGTTGTCAAGTGATCACAGACTGAATGTCATTCAACTTATGTTGGTTTTGATGTTTAATGCCACATTCCTGTTATATGATGGTGGTCTGTAAATAATCAAGTCTGGACCAGACAATCCAGTGATTGAGGTCATGTGCATCTATTCAAGCAATTAGGATATGATAACACGCAATCAACCATGTCACCAGGCCTGACCGCCCAACCCTATGTGGTGTACAGCTGTCCCAGTGGTGTCTGGTGTCACTATGCAGGCTGCTCTGTAACTGCTGGTCATGGTTTTGAAGCCAAGTATGACCCTGATCATCATCCTTAGGGGGAGTGCAAGGGGAGATGTGCATGGGGTTCACAGGAAAACAGGAAGAACTATCATTTGGAAAGGGAGATAACTCAGTAACACAGTAAAATAATGTGCAGACCACTAGAAAATATAACTTTCCATATGTAATACCGCATTGTTCTGTCTCCAGATATATATGTAATACCACATTGTTCCGTCTCCAGATATATATGTAATACCACATTGTTCCGTCTCCAGATATATATGTAATACCACATTGTTCCGTCTCCAGATATATATGTAATACCACATTGTTCCGTCTCCAGATATATATGTAATACCACATTGTTCCGTCTCCAGATATATATGTAATACCACATTGTTCCGTCTCCAGATATATATGTTATACCACATTGTTCCGTCTCCAGATATATATGTAATACCACATTGTTCCGTCTCCAGATATATATGGTCAAGTCTGGTGGTGGTGCTGGGGATCTACCTCAACCTGTACAGCAAGAACAAGGTCAGCTGGGACCACAAGTTCAACATGTTCCTCCAGAGGTGGAAACTACGACCAAGAGAGTTTGAGGCAGAGAATATTGTCTGATCTGGGATAAATTTGTGGGAATGTGCAGGTTCATGGCTGACATGTTGGGGTTATTACGGTATATTAAGATCCAGGTACAGACATTGTTTTACTGTGTGCAATATGCAACATTAGTGTGTTGAGAAAATGTTGAAGATCAAAAACATGAAAGACCATTAGAAAGCAAGGTTTACTTATTTGTCAGTTTATGGAAACATAAATTGCTTGGTTATCCAATCAAATGCCACTGAATCATTTGCAATATTTTCTTAATGAAAGGATTTTTTTCTTTTCATTTTCTCTACTACCATTGCTATAAAGTTGAGCATGGAGATTTGAAACACACAAAATAACATAGATGACCCCACCTTGAACTACTGAGGATGAGATCTGAATTGTGGATATGAGTTGCATCTATATCCTAACACCTCTGTGGTGTTGCTGGCATCTCTATGTGGAACACTGTTGTACACTGTAATGGGTGGGATGATCTGATGCTGTAGTCAGCAGTATTCTGCAGGATCACAACAGCCTGTAAAAAATCAAGTGGGCAGACCAGTGGTTGATACCATGAGCACCGATGCATGCCATCAGGGTATGATGACAAACGATTATCCATGGTCACATGTTGAAACATTTTACAGGAGTAGGAGCTAACATATTTAGTCCACTAGTCCTTATAATGATAACATGTAGCAAAACCCTTAAAAATGGCAAGTTTCTACTAGTCCTTATGATACCTTAACTGTTTGGCAGTTTGGCAAGGACTACAGGACCAGTGCCAATTTCTAACACTGACTTTATCCTCATTGGGAGCTTTTACAAGCATGGCGTACGGGAACTTGTTCTGTGTGGAGTCCATATAGGGATTGAAAATGTCTGAAAGGTTATCAGGGTTTGAGTTCCCTAAATGTGATATGTAGATCTATATTCTGTCCATATTTGTTTGAGATTACCTCTGTGGTTAAGTGGAAAGAGCGTCTGCCTGGAGAGTGGAAGGTTGGTGGTTCGATCCATGGAGGTGTCATACTTAAAAATGATACTTGTTGTTACCATGTCTGGCATTCAGCATTAATTGGATAAAACAAGGACTGGTCGACTGGGTGTCAGTTTGTGAGTGGGGTATCCATGTTAAGCTGTGGCAAGGTATTTCAGTGGGCTAGCACTATAGCACTATATAACTGGCATTTGTTTGGACTAGAACAAGAAGCCCCACACACATGTGACGTTGAGCAACATTTGTCGTGGAGGGTAGTTTGATAGGTGACCATTTTGGGCAGCTTTTGGCAGGTCTTGCCCCACACTGAAACTCATGTAGCACATGCAGTGTCACTTTGGGCAAGTGACTGTTCAAAATATGCCTTTGTTCACCAAGCAGTGAATGGGTACCCGGTAGAATGAGATTGTGATGTGACTGTTAACCTTTTGGTGCCTCACAGGCAGCTTGAGTTGTATACTCTCTAGGGAGCTGAGAATGAACATCAAGTGTACACTGATCCATTGGCAGGGGGTAATAATAATGTAGCACCATGAGCACTCACTTGGTGAATGGAATATGACGTGTTATAGGCTTCTAGTGTTGGTCACTGTGTTTAACATGAAACCACATTTACCTGAAGTGTGTCTGGTTCTCTCACCTAGCTCCTTGACACAACAAGAAATTTCTTTAAAACTAAAAGCACCAATTGTGCCTCTGAGCTGTTTTTATTATTTTAGCCTTATTTTATAAATTTTATTACAGTTTGACTGACCTTTATCTCATGACATGTGTTAGCAATAACAGGTGATATTGGTATGTGTTTTTGTATGAATGTAGTATTAATAGCTGGAAAATTATCCAATTTTGTTGTTATGGATGAAAACGATACTCGCTGGCCTTTACAGGCACTCTGTGATGTGTGTAAAGGAAGTTGATTTTCTTAGCATTGTCCTTGGAGGTTTTAGTGATATACAGGTGGCCAAAACCTTTCTAAGAGTTTCTCAACATGTTTAGTTACCTTCTTTTCTATTAGTTCCAAATTAAATTGTTCAAATATCAAATTTACTATTGTAAAATCACAATAATGTCATGTGAGTCAATTGCATGTGAGAGCAATTTTTAATAATTTCCTAATTGGAAATCATTAAGCCATTATCCATGTACCATGTACCATTATACACACCCAAGCCACATGCATGTGAAAGTTCAGTTAGGAGTGTCATTTCTTGCATAAGAATCACTTTCATCATATCAACCAAGCAGTCAAGTTAAAACAAATAATTTAAAACTTTTCATATCTCGGAGTCACTTCATTGTGGACCCCTTGAAAATCCAGGTTAGAATAGGTCTTCAGCAACCCATGCTTGTCGTAGCCCATTTGTGGTGTCCCTCGCCATGATATCGCTGGAATATTGCTAAAAGCGGCGTAAAATTTAAACTCACTCACACTCACCATGCTTGTCGTAAGAGGCTACCAACTGGATTGGGTGGTCAGGCTCGCTGACTGGGCTGATGATCCCAATTGTGTAGATCGATGCTCATGATGTTAGTCACTGGATCGTCTGGTCCAGAGTAAATTATTTACAGACCGTCATCATGTAGCTGGAATATTGCTGATTGTGGCGTCAAACAACAAACAAACACTTCATTGTGGCTTGGTTTAATATGGCTTCAAGGTATCCAGTTGATGTACTGATGTTTTCAAGGTCCTGACAGTTGATACAGTTTGTGAAATGTCTCCACAATACACACTGCCAGTGGGACGTTGCATATTTATCTATCATGTTGGTTTCTTTTTCTAATATGTGTTTACACTTACGAAGAAAAGTTCACTACAAAAACATATCCCAAAAAGTATTCATGATCCCTAACTTGTTTTGCTCAGTATATAATTGATAGCATCTTCCCGAGGCAAGGGAGTTAACAGACTTAAAAGTCCAGTTTCCACCCTAGCCAAAATAGGTTGGAATTATGGAGTAACAATTAGGCTGGACTAACGAGGTCTATGCATAGTCCAATCAAAATCCTGTAACCGGTTCATTAGCAACATGGCAACTGCCGTGCCTAATTCATTCGCCTTCAGTATTTGCAGATCATGTGATGCACTTCACGAGGTAAAACCCGTTTTTTACAATAAAGATCTTTATTATCGATGAGATCGTCTTGACTAGGCGCCACCATTTTGTTTGAAGCAAATTCAAACGATATATGAGGTGGAATCTGATTGGTCCGTCGGAGGGACATAGAAGGCACATAACTTGTACTAGCCTCTGGAGGCGCTCAGATCGAGCCCAGAAATTCCATTCTAGTACGGCAAGGGTGTAAACTGGAGTTTCAAAGTCAGTTAACTCCCTTGCCTCGGGGAGATGAATAGGGGAATTGTAGAATTTTTGCATTTGTAGAACATGTTCTGTTAATCATTGTAATCTCACACAGAGACCTCATTTTTATCTGCTAACCGTTAAGTGTCTAGGTGCTTACAAAACTAAACTTGACTACTGATAGGGAATAGGGAATCCAGATCTCTCTTTTTGATTTAACCAACATGGCACTTATTTTCTTAAATTTTGCAGTTTACACAGGAGTGGGTAGTTAAAGCATGGTGGAATTCTTTAATATGTTCCAGCTAGCTGCTAATTATGTACTGTCTACACACCGTAACGTTTAGCTCATCAGAGATACAATATCTTTGGGTATATTATAAGCAATATCAAAAACCATTTTAAAAAGACTAGTTCAGAAATCAGTTGCCCAAATTGTTATAATTAGGGCTGAAGCGTTAGACAACTTGCAGGTAGAAAAATATTCTTGTTTCTCATGCCTTTTATTCAAAACTGACTGGATAGGAAGAGAGTATTGTTTATTGGTATTTTTGTTTAGTAGGTAACAAATCTATAAAGGTAAGCTTGTTTTTAGTGTACCATGTAACCTCATTGTCCACACTCCTATATATAGCACCCATGGCTAGGTCATACCTGTACATCTGACACACTGTGAATTGCATGGCATGGCATGGCTTGTGTAAAAAGTTATCCTGTGCAAAAATGAAATTTGAGTTGAAAAAGGTCTCGTTAAATAACCATGCTTAAAACTAATATATAAATATGAGGGGCAGTTATAGGGGTGGACTGGTCATGGGAAACAAGAAATGTATTTTCGCAAGCCATCATATACTACTAAAAAGTTAAGGACCACCCTGTTCTTTCCTATTTCTATAGTTAATCTGTCATGCCGTTGTAATATGAAAGAATCGGGTGGTCTTAACTTATTTTAGTAGTATATGTGAGAGGGCACTGATTACATTGATTTAGGTACTAGTTTGTGGACTGGCTGTCCATGCATGATGTGATGTTTATTGAGGAGCTGGATACTGGCCCTCCTGTTGTCTCATGTATATATGGTGCTGATCTCGTGGGTCATTGTTATCAGGATGTGATCCTGAGTTGTGTATGAACAAATTGTATATATCACACATGGATTGTTCACGGGGATTTCGTATTTATAAAAGTTCTAACCTCAACCTTTGTGTTGTTCTATGTTTTTGTGAGATGTGTCACAAGCAGGACAGAATGTTGACGGCTGAAGACAAACATTCAGCTCATAATCTTGTACACCCACTAGTGACATCCAGTGTTGAATTAAGCAGCTGCCCATAGGCCTATGGCCGGTAGATTTCGTGCCAGGCCTGTAGTTTCACATTTGTATGGGTTCTCATGGCTTTCAGGGGGGCACGGGTGGCCCAGTCGTCTAAGGCACCGGGATTCGCTGTGCAGAGTCCCGGTTCTCCCCAATTATGTTTCTAGGTTTGTCAGCACCATACCCGTGCTCGTGGGTTTCACCGAAGTGGTAAACGTCTGAGACCTGCATCACTTGGGGCATTCCTCCCACATTAAGCTGACACGCCGTGATATAACTGGAATACTGTTAAAAGCGGTGTTAAACCCAACTCACTCACTCACTCACTCTCATGGCTTTCAGATAAGTTCTGTGTCAATTTATTTGTCACAATAAACTGCAGTGTATTTTTATTAGGGCCTGAAGAGTTTTAGTCAGGGCCTGCAGCTTTTAAAGTCTGTGGGTCCTGACGGCAGCCTGGCAAATTGTTATTTTCACCAACTGTACACACAGAACAAATTTATCATCACAAGCTGCAAAGACTTTGGTGACAATTGTGTGTGACAATTAGATCTGTCTTGTGACTGCCTTTTGGGTAGAATAGATCTTCAGCAACCCATGCTTGCTGTAAAACATGACTACGCTTGTTGTAAAAGGCGACCAACTGGATCGGGTGGTCAGGCTCGGTGACTTGGTTGATGCATGTCATCGATCCCACATTGTGAGGATCAATGCTCGTGATATCAATCACTGGATTGTCTGGTCTAGACTCGATTATTTACAGACCATGGTCATATAGCTGGAATAGGGTGCGGCATTAAACAACAAACCAACCAACCTTCAGACTTTAAGTGCAGTCACTCATGAGTATGAGTAAGATCACCTTAACAAGCAAGTGACATCACATCAAACAGGACGGACATGACCGACCAGACCAGGGCCCATATAGTTCACTGATGTATGCCCTCCTTATTATTATGAACATTAAGAGTAGTGGGATAAAGTTGTGACCAACATTTCATAAAATCACAAAAACTTGTAATGGTTTGATAGTTTAGTTTATTCACAACTGACAAACTTTCACTCACTCTATATATATATTCAACTTGCATGGGAAAACAGACTATATACATCGACTTCAAACAAATACATATAGACTGCAGGAATCAAACAGCAATGACAAATAAACTACTCAAAAGAAGTTAAAGAACACCCGACTATTTCATGGCAGATTAACTATAGTCATGAAAGAAACAGGTGTTTTTTAACTTATTTGGAGTTTTATACTTAACATGACAAAGCAGGAAGCATACATGAAGAACCTATCTATTGTACTTTGTTCATACTAGTATCTAGTGTGCTTTCATAAAATATTCAAACTCGGTGATAACCAGTGAAAGACTAATTGAAAAACTGAACTAGTAGATTTTCATTCCCACCTCACTACCGAACACCCTATCTCATTATTTTATTGTCCCTACAAACAAGATCACTGTGTGCGACACCTTCATTCTCTCCTTGATGACATACACAATATACGTAAACTACCAAACACTCCTGGGTCATGTGAATCACATCTGTCGAAAGGTAATATGCACAGATGCCTTGAACTTATTTAAAAAATGTAAGAACAAGTAGAGCTGTCACAACTGTACCTATATAGCCCTATATAAGATAGCTAAGAGATAAATCGCAAAGATCAATGAAGAATGAAGCGTGGTTTATTTCAAGATAAAACATTGTTCTATCATACCTCATTTCTGAAGATTTGAACATGCCCTCGTAACTTGATGACGTCATATATTGGACGTTATTTTTGAGAGTGAAGTGTCTAGTAAGTTGTTCCCTATAGCTGTAGGTGGTCAATGTTTATAAACGCAATGGCCGAACGATCGCTTTCAAAAGTGGGCGAAATATGACAATCAGTAATGGGAGAAGAGGTATAGATAATCAATGTGAAAATTGTGAGTATATCCGGAAAAGACCAAATTTACCCCAACCCCTGTTCATAAGATATGAAATGGACTTGTCACTTGTCTGACATTGCCGCAGTTGGATTCTATTTAGGGAGTCATCATTATTTTAATATTGGTAAATATTTTTAAAGGGTGTACTCTTTTCTAACATCCTTAAAGAGCCTGTACTAATTTTAATATCTCATATAAGAAATAAACGACTCGTTGTCGTTGTTTATTGTACAATAACTCCCTCTTGTTTATTAAATAAAGTACAGTCACATGCCACATATTACGTAGAGGGGAATGTCTAACTTTCCATTCCTTAGAAATAATGGGGCAGAGGCCCATATATTTAACAAATGAAGAGCAACGAGGATATTCCCCTACTGAAAACACATCTCTAATTTACACTTTGACAAAACATTCTAAAGAGCCGTAAACCATGCACTGCAAAGATCAGCTCATGACGGAGCACATGCTACAGCAGCAGAGAACACAACCATCTGTCCATTCCTGAAAAATAATGGAGTGCTCCAACAATAGAATGACATCACAGATGTGTTTTGAATAAAGGGTACACCAATTAAATGTTTCCCATCAGTACTTGTGCTGTAACAGATGCTTCTGTGCACAGTGTCAACACACATACAGGGAACAATATGGCCATGCAGATATTAAGAGTAGACATAATGTCAATCAGATTGTAATTTCAACATGAGAGTGAACAGCAAATGAGGATGAACTTAACCTCAGAAATAAATATGGTTAAATGGATAATCTCATTAAAATCAGATGTTAGTGCTGCAGAGCACTCCGAACATTATGACAGTCTTCGGGGAGGGTCATAACACATTATACACATATTTGGTGCGGG